GATGCGTGGATTTATTCATTGAGAAATGAAGAAATAAGTAAGAATAATACAATTATTGATCTCAAAAGTCAAAGTAGCAAAAACGTTTGAATAAAGTTTGATAAAAAATTCCCATGTTCCCAAGGTCTTGCCCAAATTCCAAAGATCTTGGGAAAAATCCCAAGAGGAGCCTGCGCTACTCAATAGCGCATCATCATTCAGGACCTGTCCTGGAATTATTATCAATACTGCAGGCCTAGCTCCCTTTTGAATTGTAAAAATTTGATCTTTGGAGGTCACTGATTTCAAGCAGCGGGGAACGAAACGATAAAGAAAATAAAACACAGCGTCTCCTTGGCAGGTTCTGCCATCAGCGGGTATCGGCCAGGATGAGAGAAATGAGAGCATGGGGGGGGCGTAAGAACGGAGCGAGCGGGATCACGATATAACGAGGCGGCATCTCGCGGGGAAAAATGTTGACGCCCAGGACAGACTCGGGCATGGTTTCTGGGCCCCACGAGCCGAACGCGAAGGCATCTTCCTCCGACCCTACCGTGACTGTTAGCGGGGCGAATTGAAAACACCCGTAGAGGAATGCAGTTTAAATATCGCGGTGTTGTACGAGCGGAGAGTGAGAAAAAGCGATTAGGAACTGGTCATGGTCCTCTGGTAATAGAAAAGTTTCCGAAGTCTGCAACTTGTGTATGTTGAAAAGGTTTGAAATTATTGTTTATTTTGGTCAATATCCAGGTGAATAAATCTGGGCAGTCTATTGACTGTTACAAGTGAAACCGCTGTGCTCCTTTGTGTCACCCATTGATTAGTACATTTGTTGAGATGATTATGCATGACATTTAGTGGTTGAGATGGGTTCCCTTTCAGATTCCAATGGAGCGATCGGGGACCAGTGCGTGGCCTTTTTCGTTTGAATAGCGCGGAACGGCCAACGAGAAACTCAGTGTTGGTGTTTTGCGAGATTATACGACTAAACTAAAACTTTCGCATCGAAATTCGCTTTGAGTTGAAATGTGTTCAACTTTTTCAAATTCACAGTATATATATATGAACATTTGACCTGACGCACGGTCACAAACTCGGATCGTGTTTGCTTTCGCGCAAAGATAAACCAACCTTCGGGCTTAGTCTTAGCCACCGTTGAAAATTTGTTGCAGTCCCAAACTTCCACAGAGCGTCGGACACCTTTGTTTCTTTACATGAGAAGTGTCAGTTTTGTTAGCGCTCAATAGCGACGCCTCACGAGCTTTGCTGAATCAACCAATAACGTGGTCTTCAAAACTGGCAGCCTCACTTTCTTTGGCGCATGTAACCCCCCCCGAAAAAAAAGCACAAACAGGTTGAATGCGCGACTATACTCAGCCCTTTTCGTGCAAATGAACAAGACTCAGATGGGTCCTTTTTTCCTTCTTCAATAAAATCCCCCCGGACACGTCTGTTTTTCTAATCCCGTCCCCAGTTCTCGCGAGCCTTCCGTTTTGAGGTTGTAGATCGCGATATCCCACGATAATCCGTATTGTTCGAGACAGAGGTGTCAGATATTGAGCTGAAGATATGTTATTTCACCATGCGCGCGGTTTGTATAGGCCTAGCCGTCTCCGCTGGGAACTAGTACTTCGTATCACAGACGCGACTTGGAATAACAACACGCGTGGCACCAGTCTCCAGATAATTACTGCACTCTTCAATTGCCGTCTCATGTCGTCTTAGTTGCAAAGCCAAGTTGAACCAACTTTCCTTGACAAATTGTAAAAACAGTTTTTTTCCCCTGGGTATAACAAATTCTTCAGTGCAGTTTAGCTGGAAACTTTCTTAGCAGAGTTGCCTTAGGGTCTACTTGTAGCGGGGAAAACGGCATGTGAAAAGCGCAGAAGACTGAACGAATATACGCTCTAGCTGTCGTCTCTTACTTAACTTCGCGTGGTCTTCACTGTCTTGTACTATCATAAGTGACAAGAAAATTGCTTAATTTGCCCACAGCAGAATAGGGGGCATTGGATGTCTTCAGCAACGGAGGAATCTGAGAAATGTAGATGTGGCCCAGCCTAGGGCACTGATATTCGAAATGAAAATAAAATGGACATCGAAATCAAGTCGGTAGGCCTATAGGCCTACTCGATCAGCTTATAGGACATACCCCCTTCTTTCGATCGAGATTTGATTCTAAAACTAAGCTTCATTAAAGTTAAACTCAGGACCCATGTGAAGCTGTGCTATAGTCTCGTGACGATAACATTAATTTTGTTCCTCTCTGTCACTGCTGCACTGTTGTCAATGCTTTCGTGTTTTATGTTTTCCCATTGTTGACAAAAATGTCAAGGTCAAGTCCTTCACAAGTTCCCACACATCCACCACGAGTCATCCAGTCTTAAACCAAGCCACAAGCTATTCAGATGAAGTGTGACAAAAGCATTCCTTTGTCGTAGTTCACCTGTTGGTCTGATCTTGTCAACGGACTTGTGGCTTGATTAGACCGTCAACCACCGCACAGATGACAAATTTGTTACGGGATGAAGCTTCGTCATATTTTGCTATTCCATCATTGTCCAGATGCAAAAGGTCTTTCCTTTCTTGTCTATCATAATTAGGGCAAAGTCAAAGTCGACGAGTTCAACCAAAGTTTGTTATAAATTGTACCTCAAAATGTGCAATATCTGAATGCACTGCAAAAGCTTTGGTGCTAAAATCAACACTTTTTGGTGTTACCAGATGACCACACCATAGGGTGTTACTTTAACACCGCTGGTGTTTTTTGCAAAACTATAAGTGTCACAGTGCACTGCAGTAACACCAAATACCACATACTGAATTATTCGTTTATGTACATACAGCCAGCGATAGTTTGCCAACCGCTAGAAACCAAATCTAACGCAGTTTTGGAACCATGGAAGGTTTTTATGTAAACCGCTAAACGTTGGAGATGTTAGCTTTTATCTTTCTCTCGCGTGCGACAGAAGACGATAAAATTTGAAACGTTAATTGCCTCTGTAGCGTCTGGCATACCTCTGAAAAAAAAGTCTCTATTCCACCACGTCTTCTTTGATTGAGTCATGTGGTCTGATCGAAATGGTGTTAAGATTGTGCGAGGCGAACACTGCCGGCACTTATGATGGATGAAGCCCGTCCGACCATCCGACAGACCCGTACGATCACCTCGTCCGCAGGGCCGGAAAACTGAGGGCCCTATACCTGCATGGTATGGGACGGAGGGGGTACCCCCTACATATCCGAACCCTATACAGACTCCAGACTATTGTTACCTAGCACACCCCCCATAGATGTCTGACAAAAATTCCTGAGATTCCGGTATAGCAGTGACCAACACGGGGGGGGGGGCTCCGTCCCATATCTTGCATCAAAATGTTCGGGGGGGGGTCCCCGGTGACACGAGCACCTCAAAGGCCTCACTTCGGTACGGTCATTTTTATAGCACACGGGCACTGGACGTTTTTGGATGCCAGAAACGGCTGGCTTTGCTCCTGCGTAACCGATGCACCTTCGGGAAGTTTCGAATCTATCGTAGTGCATGATTAATAAATGTAGCTTGCAGCAGGTGATGTGGCTTGAATCAAGACACGACGTGCACTGATCACATTGAGGGATTTACCGATCCACTCTCTATGCAAAAGAGTGGAAAACCCCACTCTCAAACTGAGTAAGTTCCATATAAATCCACCCTTAAAGAGGGGAAACCACTCTAAAAAAGAGCGGGAGACCACCCCAGAAGAGTAAAATTTCCACCCTTCCAGGGAGCCACAGGGACAACTCGAAAAAGAGTTGTCCTTTAAACGTCTCCTATTTTTGTCAGTGATTTTCATTCTTTTGGAGTGAAGTTATATAAGGGAATCTTTTTGAGACTGAGTTTTCACTCTTTTGTCTTTAGACTGCGCAGTTGTATATTTATGGTTGCATAAGGTGATGCTGCGTTAACAGGGACACTTTCGTCGTGTCCTGTGTTCATCAGTTTCCTTGTGCATCGAAGTATTCAATTATAAACAACAAAAGTCTGGTAAACGGCAACAAAATCGCATGAAAAATTCGTTGTTCACCTTTTCTGTATGCAGAACCAGCCCGTGTTAGCTACCCCGAGTCTTGCGTTTCGCGGTGTCGTATAAAGGGAGGATGGGCTGGGGGGGGGGAGTAACGTACTCCCCCGGCGGATGTCCACGCCCCCGGGTTTCCTCAGTTTGCAATCTTGGAAGGAACACACCGTATTATACAAGCCGTGTGCATTGCTGGGCTGCCTCCAAGAAAGTTCTCCCTAGTTTCTCCTCAGTGCAAACTTATAAAAAACGGAGCCGGCCCGACCCAGAGCGAAATTGCCCATGAAGAGTATGATACGCCTCTTTTTTGATACGCATTCGAGGAAGACACGCGGCAAGACTGCACGAGAGTCCTACACAGACTGTTTACGGCATAAATCCCCGCGGGGATCAGTGGGTTTCCATGCAACAATTACACGCACTGTCATACGGCTTCCTTCCTACAAGTGAGTAATATCAAAGGCTTCGGAAACCCAGACGGTGCCAGACTGGCAATATCGCAAAAACACCGACCGATTCACCAGAGAGCACGACTGAGCCAAATCCTGCCCGCGTAATCCATCCTCAGCCATGCCTCCACGTGACGATATCAAAACCGGGCTGTCTTAATTTGCGAGCCTCGATTGTAAAATCACATGCCCCCCAGTAATGAAGAAGGATGAAACACAGTCTGGTTCCCAGCCCGTGCAGTAACTGATTCTCCCACTCGATGTCTTGGGACGACACAGGGAGATCGGATCTCAGCGAATAGATTAATTTTTTTCTAGCAGCTGCAAATCCAAGCGCAGTCTTGTGGACGCTGCCCGTGCCGCTGACCGTATAAACCATTAGACCTGCAGTTTGTCGTCGCAAAAGGCGGGAAGTGTCTCGCTCTGAACTTCGTGCGAATTGAACTTTTGCCAGTAGAACCATAGAAACACAACAAAACTTGTGACTTGAAGACATCGTTTTCACTTTTCACAGTGGATGGAGGACCGATTGACGCTGCAGATACGGCTAACAACTAAACAAGATTCTACTCAAGTCTCCGCCACCGTATCTCCCAGTAACAAGGACTGCAGAGAATTCCCTCAAGTGACAACACACAGGTAGGACACTCAAACTGCCAATGGAGTCATTGTTCAGATTTGGGGCTCCGTCGTGTGACATTTTTCTGTCCTCATTACACCTGACCTGTGTAATTTGACATGGGAGATACCCGTGAAATTTGCTTCAAATGACATGTACTCTTATTTCTGTGGAATGTAATTAGCATTTAATTTCTAAACTTCCAAAATCATATGCTAGATGTAGCAGGGACATGGAAGGACTAGACACCAAATTAATAGATTGATAATTGTTTCCGTTACGTTTAATAAAAGCTGACACTTTTATAGTTTTATTTATGCACAATCAACTTGTATTAAGGAGGCCCGGAACAGAACCGCATTGAAGTTATGAAAAAAGCAGGTATAAGAACGTTCAGTTTTCCCATGGGTGAATTGATTCAACTTGTAGTCCAAAATCACCAATTACAAATGTTCCTCCTAATTCACGGACACTATTTACTGTCAGGACGAAAATGTGGGCGGTATTTGGTGGAAGCCGTGGTTCAACCCGATCAATTTGATATAGAGGGTGTGCATGACTGCCATCTTGTAGGCCAGTGATTTTGTTCCACGAGGTATGTACAAAGGAGCTGAAGGCTTCCCTGAGGAACAAAAGAACCGCCCAGCAAGATGGCTACCACGCAAAGCCTCTATAGCCATTGACAAGACATATATGTATGAATAGAAAAATACTAAAGAACAGAATCTGTGACTTTCTGTACATAGCCTCAGCTCTTTGAGCTCTTGTGTTGCCATGGAGATATTAGACAGGATGAGTTCAGCGTGAAAACAGATCGTGCTTCAACTTAATTTAGGGACTGAACGCGCGGCGTTGAGCCAAATATTTTATCAACATTTTTTTGTCTTGTTACGAATGTTTTCCCTTCGGGAACCGTTTGTAATAACATTACGCGGCGGCAGCCTGAGTCCGCACGACAGAACAGGAGGAATCGCTGAAATATTTCGAGTCGAGAATTACTTAATTTGAAGCACGCAGCGGCAGGGAAGTCTCGCACGAAAAGGAACTATACCGATTGCATGCTATTATCATATGGCACCGAGATGTTTTTTCTCGTGGCTCCGACGGGTGACGAATCGGTTCACGCACCGTCAAGTCCCTCATTTGGTCGGCGGGGTGAGATCTTTTGAGACCGGCTCGCACCGATGCGCCAGGGGAGTAACTCAAGCTGCTAAAGAAGAAAGATTGGAATACTGCGGGGGTATTTGGCGACAGACAAACAGATCAAAAGGGAATGCCTGATGCCAACGAGACGGAACAAATCGTCCCTCCGTTCTCGAGGATTTGGAAAGAGCTCCCTGTGTGCATTTCTGCTGAACAATGCTACACAGATTCAACGGGAGAGCATTCGGTCTGCGGTTATGAAAAGGACGTCCTGTTCTGGGGGGCTGAGAGTGGGTGTCGCAAAAGGGGTTCCCGTTAAGCCTCCTAGGAACACCCTCTTTGAGATAAATGGGCGCATGATTTGTAGTGTTTACTCAGTGATGCATTTAAAGTGGAATAGAAAAGGGGAAAGAATTGAAGAGACTCGAATTGTACCGGTACCACAGATAGACTTACAACTTTAGAGACACATAAAATGTGAACTAAGAAAACAGAACTTGTTTTTTGGCAGAGGCTGGTCATTAAATGCAAGATTTAAGTTCACTTCGAATATATCCCTTTTTCCTATTTCGGGATCGGGTGGGTGGTGGTTGGGGGTGGGGTTTAAGGGTTTTGTGTCCGATTGTTGCTGACGGACAGACACATTAATGCGTTACATTGTTCCTGATGCACTTACATTTATTCAGATAAGATGTTGTCTTTTTAAAAATCTCGTCTATATTTTTATTTTTAAAATGAATTATTAACATATTTGATATTAGAGCAGGCTGGTGGTGGGGGTGGGTTGGTGGTTTACTTCCACCCCCTGGATTCGCGCCTACAACCTCCAGTTACCGTGGTTTGATCCCTACACTAAGGGCGACATAGACCAAGTTTCCAGTCCTCTGAGGGTTGGAAGGTCTGCCCAGACGACAGGTTTCTGTGGCATTCTTCTGGAACCATTATAGATAAAGCTTGGTATCGTCTCCTCTTGCGTAGTTGCTGAGACCTACAATCAGAAGAAGCAGTGTTGAACCGATGAACAGGTTACCCAAGAGAAATAGATTTAATGTCCACTAATAAAACTCGATTCAGAGCCGATTCAGAGCCTATAAGTAGCGCACATAAACAACAGTTTCGATGCACCCCGTTTCAAGTAAATGCTGGTCACGAGGTACTTTCTAGTCTTGTTTACTGCATTGGTCGGTGCTCCAACTACCTCCCGCACCCACCCTTAGCTTGACGCCCCCACCATGCACTCCCACAAATGCCTCATCCAATCACCGATGAATAATTAAACCAGCAAGGTCCCCTTGACGGATCAGAACCAACTTGTCGAGGGGGCTTTTTTTGGGGGGGGGGCCTTTCTGAGGGACGAGGCTACGTTTAGTGTTTTTTTCTTACGTGATTGTATTTGAGAGGAGAAATGAAAGAGAGAGAGAAAAATTCGCCTTTCACTTTTCAAACAGAAATATGAGGCTCCTTGTTTTTTTTTTGGGGGGGTGCTTTTCCCCTACCTGGATCCAGCCTTGCTTCCGTGGGTTAGCTTTGTAATACTTTCATGCAGGCTCCGCCCTTTTTTGAGAGCTAAAAAAACGAACCCTGGAGATCCGTTTAAATAAATAACACACAGTTCCCTGGAGGCCCCGGGTGAGGTAAAGTATCCAATTTCTGCTCTCACCTATACGGACGCCTTTCAAAACGTTCCGAAACAATACTTTTCCTTTAAAGTTCGCTCCCTGCCCTTTGCATTTTGAGTATGCTATTGTGCTTTCTGATCCCGGAAATACCATCTCTGAACAGCATCAAATAATGTCAAACTATTCCTGGTACCGGTAGCTTCAAACGTGAAGTCGCACCAAAGTTACTGTTTCCCCAAGTTCTCATCAAACAAGGGTCGAGCCTTTCATGGCTTGACGGCGTGGCTCCATTCTCCCACGAGGCAGCGCTCCGTGAGAATGCCGTGTTAAAACCCTTACTCAGATCATTTATCCGCCGTTGGGAATATCCCCTGTAGAAATGCGCATTCAATATCTCCATGTTATTTTTCGTACAAACTGACATTTTGTTATAAAACCTTCTAATAGCTGTCTTGTAATGTTTCAACTTAGTCAGTTTATATTTTTTCTTTAAATTTTCCTCACCTTATTCTCGTTTCGATGCAGCCTTCCACCTCTGCGACCGGGTTCGAATCCCACCTAAGTCAGCATGTGGATTGGGTTTTTAGATGATTCTGATTCTGTATGTTCGCCGGGAATATTTTATCTGGAATATATAGCTAAGGTTTTCCTCCCACCTCTAACACTAAACATTTCTTCACTGTCTCTAATTATCACTTCATCCTTTAATTGGTGCTAAATGCGCTCTTGGATGAACAGATACAAAAATGAAGAATAAATCAGATAAAAATATTGTCTCGAATGAAAAATTTGTATAAAGATTGTTGACTTGGCCTGATAGAGAGTGTATTGACTCTAAAGTTCCCTAACCGTTGTCCATGAGCACAGTTTCATCGTCTGAGCTGGTACGACATTTAATTAGACTTTTTCCATGTTGGAGGTTTTTTCACCTGTGGTATGCACAGCTAGTCACGATCCCAGACGGCGGGAACGGAAAATAGTTGAATACACCCCTCGAGGCGCGTATACCCTGGGAAAGAACTCGCAGTGGGCCGAATGTGTGAACGGCCTAATGGGCGGGAAAATTTACGGCCCGTCCGAATCCGGAGGCGTCCGCGCGAACGGTTCAGCCCCTCAGCTCGCAAGCTAATGTAGGCGGGCCAAATCTCGAGAGGCAGTCTCGGGATTCTCCTCATGTCTTTTGGATGCATGCAAAATGGGACATGGTTATTAAGGGGAAAGAGCTCATCGCGTGTCATTATTCACAGCTTAACCCACATACACTGACCTTTCCGAGAACTACGTTAGGAAATAAAGTTGTTGTGGAAATATGTCACGATTCCCGTTTGAAAGGAATGATTCAGTATTAATTTTTTTCCATAAAGAAGGCTGTGATCTTGTGACCACTTCTTTTCAGATGTAAGCATGAAGTTTTCTAAAATCGTTCTTTGGAAATGTCACTTTCCTAAAAGTAAAGTAAATTCTTCCCTGAAGTACAGACTTGAATCGAAACCATCACAGTACATGTACGTGCATTGGGTTTGCATCATGGCTGCCATTGTAAGTGCTTTGTTCAACAGGGTATATGCACAAAGGAGGCTTCCCCGTGGAACAGAAGAACTGCCCTGCAAGATGGCTACCACGCAAAGCCTCTGCACACGGCATTATACATGAGAAATGTTTATAATTCCAAGCCATTCTGCAATTTTGAGCCAGCCTTTAAACTAGATGTGGAAGCCACACACGTATGTGTTTTACTTTTCTCGATTCTTCCCCTCTGAATTGGTGCGATGCCCACGGAGATGTGACCGTAGAAAGGTGGCGGACAGGCACTGCACTGTGCTGCACTCAGCCGCTTAACCCCGTCAACCTCGTACTAAGAAAATCGGTTTCATATCAACTGAATACCCGGGGACAAATTCCGTCAATGATCCTTCGCGGAAGCCCGAGATCGCCTCGATTCACCCTGCCCTCAAGATAACGCGGGCGGGAGCCTTCACCGGGCAGACTGTACTTTCACTCCCGTCTCCCCAGGAAAAAAAATCAACGATGATAAAGACGATATCCAGCGACGAAATCGATTTAGCAAGCAAACTGCAACCAAGATTTTGCCCTGGTAAAAATGATGTTTTTGCGAGGGCCATGCCGAATCTTCCGTATCATCTTTCCCGCCTTATTTTCCTTGCGCCGCGGCGCAGTTTCTGTATTTATTTCCTCAGTGGAACCTGCCGCGAGCCGTTGAGCCCCGTCGCCGTGTCGCGGACTTTGAGCGATTTAAC